GGTAATTAAAGGCTCTAATGCACACCAGCACACCAGTATAGGTGTGTGTATTGTAGGAGCTAGACGACGTATGATGACGTGTGATGGCATAGTAGTGGTGTCCCAATTCTTAGGGGAATATTTTCACCCCTACCCCTTGACACTCTGTTTCAAGGGACAAGGGGAAGGGGTATAAAATAGAACTGGGATTGGGCCTTAATGTTGATTACCACAAAAAATAAAAAAATAAAAGAAAATACTATAGTACGATGAAAGTGGATGGGGCCAATGCACAAATGTTAAAATACTCACTGTTTCCACATTATAGCAACAAGACAAACAATTTCCACATTAACATGATTTTAGTGTGAAAATCACTTACTAACCTTTTCTGTGTAAAGTTACACTACCGCTCAAAAGTTTGGGGTCAGTAAGAGGTTTTTTGTTTTGTTTTTGTTTCTGTTTTTAGCACATCTGTTCAGCAAGGACGTATTAAATTGGTCAAAGGACAGTAAAGACATTTTACATATGACATTGTTACAAAGGTTTTCTATTTCAAATAAATGCTGTAACTTTCTATTCATCAAAGAATCTTGAAAAATGTATCATGGTTTCCACAAAAATATTAAGCATTAAATTTTTAATTAAATATTAAAATGTAACTTTTTTAAACATTGATAATAATAAGAAATGTTTCTTATTGTCATTAATATGCACCAAATCAATCATGATTTCTGAAGCATCATGTGACTCTGAAGACTGGAGAAATGGCTGCTGAAAATTTAGCTTTGCATCACAGAAATAAATTACATTATAAAATATATTTAAATAGAAAACAGTTATTTTAAAATTGTAATAATATTTCATAATATTACAGTTGTACTGTATATCCTACTGTAAGAGATTTCTTTCAAAAACATTAAAAAATCTTACAAACTCCAAAGTTTTGAACAGTAGCGTATATCCAATTTTACAGCTCCGTCATCATGAAACTGCAATGCCATAAACCATAAATGACAGTAAAAATGAATAAATGTGAATGAATGTAAGTGTTTTTTTTATTTATTTATGCTTTTAAATCATTTAAAAACCATTTACTTCCATTGTGCCTTTGAAAGGCACATACTTCAAAAAACGCTTTTTATAACCTCCATTTTAAAAAAAAACACACAAAAAAAACAAGAGACAAGCCAATTGTATTTTATTTATTTATTTTTGTGTTGAAATCAACATTATGCCACAACTGCTGTCAATAAAATATATTTAAATAGAAAACAGTTATTTTAAAATTGTAATAATATTTCATAATATTACAGTTGTACTGTATATCCTACTGTAAGAGATTTCTTTCAAAAACATTAAAAAATCTTACAAACTCCAAAGTTTTGAACAGTAGCGTATATCCAATTTTACAGCTCCGTCATCATGAAACTGCAATGCCATAAATCATAAATGACAGTAAAAATGAATAAATGTGAATGAATGTAAGTGTTTTTTTTATTTATTTATGCTTTTAAATCATTTAAAAACTGGCCCCATTTACTTCCATTGTGCCTTTGAAAGGCACATACTTCAAAAAACGCTTTTTATAACCTCCATTTAAAAAAAAACACACAAAAAAAACAAGAGACAAGCCAATTGTATTTTATTTATTTATTTTTGTGTTGAAATCAACATTATGCCACAACTGCTGTCAACTGAGCTTAACTTGCATTGAACCCAGAATATCACTTCAAGACAGTAAAGATACACAATTTCATACCTTGTTTAGTTGTTTGAACTTAAATATTTAACAAGTCAAGGGCTCCTCAATAAAAGTCATATTATGCTCTCAGAGATTGAATTTTTGATAAGAATCACCTACTCTGGGAAATGGAAATGGGGCCATTGTGTGATGACTCTTCACACCAATACAGCTGCAGGCATTTAAGCTGTCAAGAAACCTGTTACAGCACCAAGCACTCACTATCCCTTCTTCATCACCATCCCCTCCCTCCTCAGCAATACAGTCATAACCGCTCAGCCATCTCACAGCATTCGCTCTCATTGCCAAACATCCCACCTTTCAGCTACTGAAAGCCTCATAGGTGGCTTTTTAACGTAACCTCTAACACTGAGAGCTCATTCTTCTCTCCCTTTCCTGTTCAGTGCCACTCTAGGAAACATCCATTAAATGCATCAATACAATCTGAGAGAAATGGAGGCTGTTGAGAGGGCTGTGGCCTTCAACACGGTTTCAGTGGAGGCGTGAGATATCAACAAATAAATAGGCCTATGTTCGTCTTCTGTTTGTTTGGACGTGTGGACTTGGCATATAAACTTTTAAGGGGTTTTTAGTGATACGCAAATGAAGCCACATTCACATTATCAACAACTAGAAGCTGACACTTTCACCAAGCACCTGAGACAAACAAGCATGGTGACATTTGCAACCATCTCCCTTTTAGTTTTACACGTCTCATGCTGTGAGAACAGGCTAACGCTTGCTAACATTTGATATTAATCAGTCTGCGGTGCATTGAGTCTCTGCCACCCACAAGAATTTAGCTGAAGAGCTCCTGAGTCGTAACCCTGAGTCAGTTAACTGCCATATGGGCTCTAAGTTTCAGGAGAAATGTAAAGATCTGAATTATTCATAATCCTTCAAACACCTTAGACCCTCTAGAGAAGTTCATGGGCACTCCAGCTGGAGATCATGACAGCTATACTGACCATTGATTTACTTTACAAGCTATCAGAATCTCATCTTACTTTTTAGCCATACAAATAACAACATCTGCATCAAATTTCATATGTTTGCTCACTTTGGGCCTCCGTCAGTTTTCCTTCTACAGTGTGAGCTCCATATACGCCTATATCATACTATATGAGCCATAAAAGCCTGATGTATCATATATTATACTGAACATAAAACACATATGCAAAACTTTTTTTATACTATTCTTTTTAGATTTTATCACAAATTAAAAAAAAAAGATAAATAAATAAATACTTTTTTATATTGTTAGTCATTTTTATCATGTAATTTTTTGCACTAGATAGAAACAACTTCTTTGGGAAGATTTAAACCATTTCAACTCACCACATTGAGTTTGAGCTCCATGTTGAGGACACCTCCACTGTCCAGCACCGGCATTAGGTTGATGGCAAATATCGCTGCCCGGTCTGGAGGGATGGAGATGTTGGGTCCAAAAAAGATGTAGAAATGAACTGAAAATGTGTCCAGTTCATTCCGCAGCGTTGGCCGGATGGGCCAGCATTTATTTGTGTCTGCCATGGGTGCTAAGTAAGTGATGCTTTCTTCAGCAGTTAACAGAGATCCTTGATCCGAAGGGTTCTGTGGCACGTTAGGCAGGCTGGCAGCCGGCAGGGTATCTGACAGAGAGAACCCCATCGCAGTGCCAAATGACTGGGGCATGTTCATGGCTGAGGAGCCCTTGGAGACGCTGGGCTTGGAACAGTCTGCAGAGAAAAGATCAAAGGAGGTGTTTAAAATTGGGACGGCACAATTTTCCACTGAGGAACTTGAAGGTGAAGCTAGTTACGAGAGATGTGAAATAAGAATGAAATAAAGATGTATTGAATTCTGATGAATCCCTTGACTGAAGCTGACAGCTCAAACTCTCCACTCAGGTTACTCTGAGGCTAAAAGCATCATCCTGTCATTCCCATCCCTTTGTGCTAGATCTAACTAGCATTTCAGCAGAGACATACTTTTTTCAGTTCCATGCATATGCTTAGATGTCTGCGGTGAGATGACAGGCCAAATGATTGCTGAGTGTCTATGTAGTCTGAAATGATCTAAGTGGGGTGTATGTTGTTTTGTGTAGGACCAAAAAAAGGCCAAGGGAATGTCCGTTTCATCATATTTCCTTTTATAGGTCTCTCAGCTCTACACATGCCACACACACACACACACACACACACACACACACAAACACTTTAAACCCTTGTATTTGGAGTTTAAAGTCTTCATTCAAATAATGACAGATTTTTTGCATTACAAAAACAGTGTGTCCCATAACACATAAAAACGAGGTCATAATTGTTCTTAACGTCTTTTAATTGCGGAATTTGTCATAACATGGTACTTTGTAAATTAGACAGGATTGTGGAACACACTTTGATTAAATGTAAATTTGCAAAACAATGCTGCGGAATTGAGATAACTAATTGGTACTGATGAGGACAATAAGGAAATTCTCCACACATTTCACTGTTTCCTGATTACCTCAGGGTGTGAACGATCAGTTATGCTACTGGGGACTCGGGAGTCTTACAGTCATATTTCTCTTCGCACACACGATTATTGCAAAATGCAGTGAATCAGGTGGAAATGGTTCAATATTGAAATGCCAAGTCGCTTTCCCCCCACAGCTCTGTTTGCTGTGTTGTCGCTTACATATCTTGCTCTCTCACTTCTCTTTCTGGTTCATTTTACATCCAGCCATTGAGCCAGTGATGAGGGAATGTTTACAAAAGTTACACCATGATTTTAGATTAAAATTAAGTTTTTTTTCCCACATCCAGAATCCAAAGACAGTCCTGATGAGAAAGCTCATCAGACTTAAAAGCGGATTATTATTACTGCGGGTGGATGGGGTAATTAAACGTCAGTGACTGAAGAGCTCTACCTGGATTCTGGCGACCTAAATGTTTTATGTAGCATCGCATCACACGAGAGCAGAATGTACATCATTGATTTTCATTTTAATGAATGATCACAATCTATGGAACAATTATTGAACATGAATCAACAATAATTAGAACTAAGAGTTGAGATTCAAATGCTATATACGACACAAAAAAAATAATTAAATACATACTACCATTCAAAAGTTTGTGGTCAATAATTTATTACTTTTTAATTAATAAGGACTGAATTGATTAAAAGTGACAATAAAGGCATTTATAATGTTCCAAAAGATTTCTAAAATACTTTCTATTTATCAAAGAATTCTGAAAAAAATATATCAGAGTTTCCAGAGAAAAAAATATTAAGCAGCACTGTTTTCTACATTGATAATAATAAGAAATGTTTTTTGAGCTCCAAATCAAATTTCTGAAGGATCATGTGACACTGACGACTGGAGTAATGGCTGTTAAAAATTCAGCTTAGTCATTAATACATAACATTTTAAAATATATTCACAGAAATATATTACACAGAAAATGTTAGTTAAAATTGTATTAATATTCATAACCTCAAACGTTTGAACGCTAGTGTATACACACACACATGCAATACTGTTCAAAAATAAATTGTCATTGAAGGGTGAAATTAGCAAAAACATCTCAACAAAACCTGGCATGCCTGAGTCTTGATTAGTACACGAATCCTGCAGCATTTATAAGCCCTCATAGTCTGATCAAATCAACCTTTTTTGCTCCTGTGTAATTACATCTATTTTGCCATAAAATGCCATTATAATTATTGCTGACAAAAGCAATGATGGACAAAAGATCACAGTTAGTGAGCAAAGGGCTCGCACTTGAACATGCCATCGGTTTCAGGATGAGGATGTGTCATCGTGTTCTATTCAGCACCTGTTTGGCCACAGGCCCCACAGCTGAAGGTTAGCTGTATACATACAGCTCAGGCTATGAAAAGTGAAGTGACATGTGGCCAAGTATGGTGACCCATACTCGGAATTAGTGCTCTGCATTTATCCCATCCAAAGTGCACACACACACACACCGTGAACACACACCCAGAGCAGTGGGCAGCCATTTTTTGCTGCGGCGCCCGGGGAGCAGTTGGAGGTTCGGTGCCTTGCTCAAGGGCACCTCAGTCATGGTATTGAAGGTGGGAGAGAGCGCTGTACATTCACTCCCCCCACCTACAATCCCTGCCGGTACGAGACTCGAACCCACAACCTTTGGGTTACGAGTCTGACTCTCTAACCATTAGGCCACGACTTCCCCTCAAACATGAATCCCTGACTCATTCTCTAACTTACCATTGTCTACATAGATGTAGATGTGGAACAATATAAAGAGAAAGTGTCAAAGATTTCTTTGTCAAGAGATGGTTACCTAGCAACCAAACATTCAATAAGCTCATAACAACGTCAAAGTAACTTTCCTGGCAAGAGTTTCACATGAAAATATATAACTCTATGTATACTTGCATTTCTGAAAATAGCTCAACACAATCCAGTGTTCCCTGACGTTTGAGGAAAGCAAATGTGGAAAACAATTTGGATTATGATGGATTTGCACTAAATTAGTTTACAGTAGTTGCACACCAATTAAACTGTAGATGATTTATGGGATGACATTGTCATGTGTTATCAAGATGATGATGATCTCCACACAAATAATATTAACTGTTCACCACTGGAGGGGGAAATCATCACAGACATTAAGAGACACAGCATCTTATATACATTTTGTAAGCCTTACACTTATAAAAGTATGCAAAAAAACAAACAAACAAACAAATACTAGAAACAAGTGACATACATATACTACCAAGTTTAGGGTTAGTAAGATTTTTTTTAATGTTCGTGAAAGAAGTCTCTTGTCCTCCATTAGGCTATATTTATATGATTAAAAAACACAGTAAAGTAACTGTTTTCTATTTTAATATATTTTAAAATGAAATATATTCCCATGATGGCAAAGCTGAACATTCAGCAATCATTACTCCAGTCTTCAATGTCATGTGATCCTGCGGAAATCATTTTAATATGCTGAATTGCTGCTTAAGAAAAATTTCTTATTATTAGAAAACAGTTGTGCTGCTTAATATTTTTGTGGAAACAGTGACTGATTTTTTTTCAAGATTCTTTGATGAATAGAAAGCTCAAAAGATCAGCATTTTTAAATAGAAATCTTTGAAATGTATTTACTGTCAATTCAATATCAATTTAATGCATCTTTGTTGAATAAAAGTATTAATTACTATCAAAAAAGTACTGATTTGAAAAGTACTGTATATAAACACAAATATACCATAAAAATAAGCAAGAATACATAATAGGGTAAGACTAGTGTAATCACTGAAACACCTTGCATACACTGCCATTAGTCAACACTGGTTCTCATGATTCAGATTATTTTTTGCCAAAAGTGCATACCAGCAAATAACCAAATGTGAACATGTCATAATTCGAGGAATATCAATACTGTAAATCAAGCAAGCTACAGGCAAAAACAGAAATAAAATGTCAAAAAGTAATTTCTTTTTATACTGTATCAATACGCTGAGAAAGAATGAAAATAATGGGTGTGTTTTAGGGTCAAATGCAGTCCATGTTAGCCAAATGCTAGCCAAATCACACATAGCCTACACATATGGGCTGTTATGTACAGGCTGCTTTTATCAACAGCTCTGTGGGCACATAAAAGATTCAAAAGTTGTGTGATGTATTTGTCAAGGGAGGCTACATTCAGTGCTGCTTTTCACAGGTACCTTTAAACACTATGGGGAAAAAAGTTCACCTCCCACTGGATATTCAGCTCAAGATTAATCTGAATTCATCTGCAGTAACCCGTCTCTCTTGAGGGTCTTACAACATCTCACAACAGTTAAAAGTGTTTTGATACTGACAGACTGACATGATGTCATCAAGCAGAAGAAAAAAATCCTCAGGAAAAGCACAAGCAGTATTCAGTACGTAAGTATATATTTTTCATGAAATCCACTCCTGGAGACCCACAAACCCTGACACTAAAGCCAGCACAGACCTTTTGCAGCAATGTACTGCCATCAGATTGCTGCAAACAACTCCACCATGTTATTCGCTTTTGGCTGTCAGCGAGCGCTTGTTCATTTCTATATGTCAGAATCGTAACCGAACGCAAAACAAAGAAGAGGCGTCTTTGTCGGATGTGTCTAGGATGCATTTCCTGAGTTATCTTTGGACCACCAAGGCCTCATATTACACTCGCAGGTCTTCTGGGAACAAACTTCAGCTCACAAGTTGAAAACAAGACTGGCTTCCGACCGTTTCGTGAACCCAGCATCTGGTGATGTAAATGCATGCAAAACTGCCTTCTAGGGCTCTGAGATTTCCTCCCTGAGACCTAGTTAGATCAAAGTTTCACTTCTTAACTAGTGCTCACGGCTAACACAGGCTCAGTTTAGCTAAGTACCACTTTAATGGCACTGCTAATATGTATGATCAAATGTTTCACAAAGAGTGCCTGGGAGAATAAGCCTGTACTGTTATGTAACATTGAATTTATTACACTCACCTCTGCTAATAAATGTTTTTGTTTCATGTGGTGATTTATTTAGGTTCAAGATAAAGATTTAGTGTTCAATGAATGATGTGTATTAGATCATTCACAGATTAATTCTAGCATAAATTGTTCATTTCATCCTTAATGTGGGATTGAAGGATCGTGGTGAGGTTTCTCATCTGTGGATCAATATCTTGCAACAAAAGTCAATCATAAAAGCACACAAAAGGTTAAAAGGTTTGTGTAGTGATGATGAAAAACAAATAAA